TGTACGGCTTCTCCCCCGTGTGCACCCTCAGGTGGCCCTGCAGGTGCGAGCTCTGGCTGTAGCTCTTGCCGCATATGTCACACCTGTAGGGCTTCTCCCCCGTGTGCACCCGCTTGTGGCTCAGGAGCCCCGAGGCGAACCTGAAGCCCTTCCCGCACTCGGGACACATGTAGGGCTTCTCGCCCGTGTGCAGCCTCTGATGGGTGCGGAGGTTGGAGCTGTACCGGAATCCCTTCCCACACTCCAGGCAGGTGTAGGGCTTCTCCCTGGTGTGGACTCTCTGGTGGGCCTGGAGGTCTCCACTCCGGCCAAAGCTCTTCCCGCACTCACACGTGAAGAGCTTCTCCCTCAAGTGCAGCTTCTGGTGCGTGAGCAGCCCTGAGCTGTAACCAAACCTCTCCCCACACACGTCACACTCATATAGGCCCTGCCATGGCTGAACCTGCGGATGGGGCAGAAGGTAAGCACCGTAACCAAAGCTTTCCCCACACTCGGCACCTCGGGAGGGTTTCTCTTCTATAAGATTCTTTTGGTGAGTGCTAGTATGTGGGCCAAGTGCCAGTTCCCTTGCGTCCTGGGCTCGGCTCTCAGGCTTGTCCCTGGGGCGGACTTGCTGCAGCTTGTGCAGTGCAGCCTTGGTGCCTGGTCCTTGGTCACTCTCAGCCTGCATGTAGGCTGTCTGGCCAGTGTGGGCCACAAGAAGGTCAACACCAGGCCTGAGACCCTGACCACACTCAGCATCTGCAGGGGACACCCCTCCTAAGGGGTCACTTTGCTGTCTGTCTGGACAGGCGCTCCTCCCCACACTGTCCTGATACTCATAGGGTCTTTCTTTCCAGTGCACTTGTGGATGAGTGGGAAGGTCGGACTCATTCCTGAAGCCACCTCTACATGTCTTACTGCTAAACCCAGTCTCTCTAGTTTTAGGGTCACAAAGGATCGCCTCATCGTCACAGTGACTGCTATACTTGCGGCAGTCATATGCCTTCTCTCCTTCAGGTATTCTGAGGTCACGGTGACAATGTGATATTCTGCTGAAGGCATAATTACTCCAATCATATTTATATAATGTTTCTTCCATGTCACAGTTTCCTTGAACTTTCCACGGCCCGTTCACCAGGGCCCCAGATTCCCAAGCGGGGACCGGACTCACAGCTTCCCACGCTGGACACCGTGGATCCTCTGCATTGGTGGAAACAATCCTTTCAAGACCATCCACCAAGCTCTCAGTCTGGAAACCCCGAGGAGATTTGTCTTTCCTCCTTTGACAATGGGGAGCATCTTCTGAAAACGAGGGATCTTTCCCTGGAGGAGTCCCTCGATGCTCGGGACCCCCACTTAGCTCTCCAGTCACCTGCTCCCAGATTTTCCAGTAGGTCAGCT